GTTCCATTTTTTTGTCTTTGGTTCCATTTGCCAGGGCGACCCATTTTGGGGTTACCCTATTTTTGACCCACAGCCAAATGAGAAACTGCCACCGAAGCCCCAGATGTCATGATGAGGTTGTTCAATTTGCTAAGAACCGTCTCGAAAGCGGGTGCATGAAACCCTTCAACCATGTCGGCCAAAGGGTCCCTGACCAAAAACTCACCCTGCCAGACATGTTCGGTGGGAGAATTTGAGTGATCACAGGGAATGTTACAAGCAGCGCGTGCAAAGAGCTAGGAACCCGAAACCCCTAAAGCCAACGCAGAGGTGCCTAAACATGGAAGCGGAATGAACTTACTATACAACAAAACCCTTGCAAGCACCTCAGGCACCCTACCGCTGCGAGACTAGCATGGATGTGAGTTGGCTTCACAGGCTGATGTGTTGAATTTCTGCCTGAATGCGTGCCAAGGTGATGCAGTTTGAACACATGATTCATATGGAAGTGCACAGGAAAAAGCTAGCCATGCTCCCCACAAAGATCACCCCCAGTAAATTGTTGGGAAATACATAAACCCTAGCTCCGTGCACGTTAACTAAACCCATTTTGACAAATAACAAGAGTTGCCCTAACATGCAAGTGCAGATGCCCAAAATCACCAAAATGACTTTAGACAATGGTGGACGAGGAAAAAAACAAAAGCCTGGGAGCGTCTAAGATTGTTCACAAGAGTGTATCTGTGCTGATGTATGGATATTCACAGGGTTCCTTCAAGTGCTGCAGCGCGTGGCAACATCTCCCAAACGTCACCAGGCACGCATCCTGCTCAGTAAAACATTGACCTCCCGTTCAACTTCTGATCCTTACGTTGACAAGGTCGACAACATTTGACAGTAGATCGCACCCGGAAATTATTCGGGGCGGCAAATCCTGTCAGATATGGCAAAGTGCCTATCTCATACTCAGGAATGTACTTTGCTGGCTCAACAAAAACTGGCTCCCTGCATCTTAAACATGCATTGCCCTCTCTCGAATAATTGCCACATCGCTGCATCAACCCCCAACTTGCCCAGTGTGAATGTCAATCGCCGATCGGCCACAAACTGCGGCATCCTCCATATCAGCTGGTCTTTGGCTGAACAAAATGACTGGCCCAAACGATGCCTGATACAGGAGCTTGCCAAAGGCTACTTGGGTGCTTCCTTTCAGGAGTTGTAGCCTCAAACCTCCATTTGATGGGTTGTCCATGGGGACCTGGGCCAACCATATGACATCTGCACGAATCTTGGCCGAACCAACATCAAGATTGTCAGATTCTGTCCGTTACCCTCACCCACAAACATGGAAGTGCGCCCAGCCCCTTGCCAAGAGGAAAGTAATCTTCAAGAGGGGTCTGTGGACTTCCATGCTTGTTGGTGGGAGGGTACTAACATTCATCAATCAGCTTAAAGAGAACTTCAACGTGAGATAGCTTGGCTCAGCCGATCCCTCGAAGAGCATCATGGGCTCACCCTCAGTTCAGCTTGCTCCAGTTGCTGCCCGGCAATTTCACACGGAAGCGAAATTGGGGTCGCCCAAAGGAGCTCCTCCAAAGATGTTTGTTTTGGGGATTCGTGTTCATCTGCATGGGAGTAGATTACATGGGACCATGTTCAGGAAAACCTGTTGGGCGCTCCTTGGTGTAGAACCTGCACACGGCCAGGTTGTTTTCCGCTGCCAGAACCTGCGCAGCCGAACAATGTCTGCGATGTAAAAAACCGTTCACCAACATTTTTGCCTAAGGCCAAAGTTGGTCCGATCGATGGATGCTCCTCCATACCGAGCCCGTAAGGGTAAAAATACCTGAAAGGCACTCTTGCAAACCGGCCTGAATATGAAGGCGATTGATTGATTTTACTCCCACGCAAGTCTACGCAAAAACTATCATTTGCAATGGAATCTTCTTTTGCGTCGGGGAAACCTGTTCGGGATGCCATGCTAATTTGTAGGAGTATGTGGTGCGCTTGTGACGCGGAGGGCTGACCATTTCTATTGGACCCTAAAGCGGGCCTCGAACAGTCTCTTCGAGTGTCAAGTTCGGGACTTGAGGCCAAACCTATTCGGGTCGAGTTTTAAGCGGCGCAGACAAACAGAGTGTGTGATCAAAGCTCCTGTGTTGGCCATGGCTCCTAAAAAAGAACCCTTACAGAAAACTGAATTCACATTCTGGTGTTGATGACCATCCCATCCACCAAGAACAATGTGTTTTGGCATAAATGGAAACTGGAAGACCACCGGATTAAGTCCATTTGCCCCCGGCAAGCCACGACCTGACGGAGACCCAACAGCCTGAGCTACTGTTCGGCCGCAGTAAGCAATTTGATTTCTTCAGGAACTGACGCACTTACAATCTAGGCTGGAAAAATCGGACCCCGGCAAAACAATATCTTTTTTTGCCTGGTTAGTGGAAAACAAAGGGACCCCAAAAAAGCAAAAAGTCAAAAAGGGGAGCCAATTCTGGGGAAGCAATGAGATTAAGTCCACCAGGGGTACTTGCAAGTAGGCAAGAACCTCGGCTACTAACCACCTGAGTGGCCAAAAGGAGACCAGGAGACCCACATCCCTAGCGGCGGTAGCGGCACCAGACATCTCTGTGCGTGAGAGTCGTGGAAATCTAATCGGTGCGCGCAGCCCACCATTTGCCTCAACCCGTGCGCCAGGAATGCCGAAGGCAACTTTGGATCCCAAAGTGGGCCATGAGAATTTCCAACATTCACTTGAGGTCGATTTCACCGATGCCCATGTCCAGAACCTGAAATAAGAATTAAGGATCCCGAAGCAAAGGACCTACCCCCGAATCGGCCGACATACATGCAGAAACTCAGGTTAACTTGGTTGACGTTGGGTTTGGGGAGCAAACATTCTCCAATTTTAGCTGTTAAGTGGTTGGATTTCAACTACTAAACCACAATAAGCAAAAATGCAAAATGTTTCCCAACAACAACCATGTTGACACATGGTAGTTCTCCAAAACTCCGCTGTCCACTTGTCCACTTCCTCCCAGGGAACCAATCGTGGACCGAATTGTGCTTAAGATGGTGGATCTCTGAATGCGTCGTCCCATTCCGTAACTGCTGTAAGGGCATAATCTACCGCAATAGACCGATTCGGGGCCACCAAAAACCGAAAGCTCCTTTACTAACTCTGAATAATTGAATATCCAGAATTGTTCGTGTAAGCCAGGTTCAATCCATATGTTGTTACCCGCAATCCACAAAGTGTATCGTATACTTGGCGTCCTTCAAGCTTCGAACCTCTGCAAAAGCAGACTATCCAAACAAGAAATGTCCTCCTAGAAACCGATACCCTTAAAAAACTACCAAAGAGTCTGCTTTCCAGTTTGCTCCTATTCTTTAGAAAATCGAACCAACCAAAGTTCTCCTTTTTCCACGCGAATCCATTAGGCAGGTACTTGTTCAGGCCCAACTGCAGCGAGTACAAGAGTAAACCATGCCTAAAGACAACAAAAAGGCAAAACTGCAAAACAGCGAGCGCCTGCCAGCACTGCATTGAGTACACATAGAGATTGGCTCTGAAAATAGAAGCCCAAGCCCACTGCCACGCGGTGACGGTCTCGTCGCCGACCACTTTTTTTTTGTTCTGGACCATCTCCGGCTCTGCGTTCAATTTCTTGGTCGTGTCTACCAAGATGCAGGCCGCAAGAAGCTCGGCGCTGAACGTGTCGGCCCCTGGCAGTTTCCCCTACCTATTCACCTCACCCCCAATTGGTGGTTTGGTTTAAAGGTTTGGTTTGGGTTAGCTTCGTATTTATCCGCAAGAACCAGAGCTTCAATCCACATACCACCAAACCACCAATTCTCGGTTGCTTTCTGCTCCCCTGCTAAAAGTTTAGTTTTTAGTAGTTTAATGGAAAACCCATTAGTTGGCAAAAAGTTAAAGTCCTAACATCCAAGCAAAATGCACCAAGAGGGATACTTGCCACTTGGCTTCCCGGCCTCCTCACAGGCCATCGCCGAGTCACCGGAGGACGCCGCGTTGGCGGCTGCCTCGAAGGCGTCCCTGGAGATCGGTGCGGGACTACGCGCCTGTCGACTGCTTCACTGCCCCGTTCGGCGCTTCCGGTGTGGACGTTTGGATTCGGTGGTTTGGTGGTTAGGGGGGGCGGTTGCCCATTTCTTAGTCAGCTTTGGTGGTTTGGATTGGTGGTTTGGTGCAAAGGGGGTGGAGCCCCCCATTTACCGGGGCACACAATGCAGCGCCGGGAAAACTGGGGCAATCTACAGGTTGTCTGGCACGACAGGTCCAAGCGGGCAGGTCTCCAAGCACCAAAAGTTTCAAATCTCCAAGCCGCCGGTCCAAACTCAAGGGGAACCTGATATTTCTTCCAGGTCCTCCAGTAGAGAGGTTAGAATAAGGCCACCAACTTTTTTCTGTAGTCATTTTTTCTTACCAAAAAAGAAACGGTAAAAGGGGCACGATCCTGGGGGAGCTAGTCTTTCAGGGTCACGCACGCGCTCAGCACTTGCAGATGTCCCCACAGGCCTACCCTGTCGGCGAAGGGCCCTGGAAAAGGGTTGTTGCCTTTGGGATCCCCTTTCTAACCCTCCAAATGGAAATCTGCCATTTTGAGAACCCCCCAAAAAGTGGAATGTTCAAGGGGAGTTGAAGTGACGGTGTTGCATGAGTATTTTGTTAACAACCCACTATATAGGGAACCCTCAAAACAGGGGACACTGCAGGCATGTTCCAACTGTGTTTCCAGCCTGTGGGCACCAGGCAGCTGCCCAATGGACAATGTTTGACACCAGCACAAAATAAATATGGGCCCTTTGCTTCGGTCGATACCTGGGCAGTTGTATATCTTAATCATGGTGTTTCCAGTTCCCGAAAAAACTAAAGAAATATATTGGGTAAATTAAAAACTATGGGCTATGCAACACACAGCTTTAAAAAGATATATGTTTGTTCCCCCGCTTGCAAGATTTGACAGATTTGGTGGAATGCACGTACATTTGGG